CTTCAAACCAAGGAGACTGTGCTTTCTGAGGGAGTTCTAGCTGCCCCAGTTATATGGACTGGAGCCTGTGGTGCAGTGAAAAAGCCACAATCTCACTCATCATGATTCTTTTCTTTCAAGGGTTTAGTTCTCTCCAGTCTCTGTCTGTTTCTGATCACTTGACAGTGTCTTACATTTTTAGAAAATATTTTGTCCAGGGTTTATCATTGTGATCTGTGGCAGGTTTAGTCTGATACACGTTACTCTGCCATTCCTGGAACCAGAACCTGCCATCATTTCTTCCCTAGAGTAGAGCTGTGGCCACCTAATTGGTCTCCTCACTCACACTCTTGCCCCTTCAGTCTGTTTTCTACCCAAGAGCCCAACGTAGCCTTTTAATATTTAAGTTATATCACTTCACTTTTCTGGTTAGAACCCTTTATTTATTTATGACTACATTTAGAATAAAAGCCAAATTCTTTGTAATGACCTACAAGGCGCTCCACCACCTGGCTCCCTCATTATCCTGCTAACTGTATCTCATGTTCTGCTCTAGGTACACTTGCCACCTTGCTGTGCTAACACACAATAGATACAGTTCTGCCTCAAGGCCCTGGTCCTGGCCATTCTCGCTTCCTTCAGATATCCACCCTGCATACTCCCTCACTTCCTGCAGGTCCAGATCAAATGTCACCTTCTCAGGGAGCCCTTCTCTGACCATTCTCTTTGAAATGTGCCCTCCTCTCCTCTCCTGTCCACATGATCCCCACTGGCATTCCTTACTTCCATTTTTTGCTGTAGTTTTCTCCATAATGCTTACCACCATCTAAAATATTATCATTTTACTATTTTGTTTATTATCTACCTCCACTGGGAAAAAATGAGCTTGATGAGGGCAGAAGTTTTTTCTCTTTTGTTCATTGCTCTCTCCCCAGGACCAGAATAGTGCCTGGCAGTTAGAAGATGTTCATTGGACACATGTCCGAAAAAGACTGAACAAATGTGAATTATTCCTTTGTCAAGCAAGTCTATACCTAAACTATAGATACAAGTCCAGTGATGGGAGTTTGACTTCTCCCAACTAGGGATCAGGCAATAGGATAGGTCTACCAAGCTTCTACTATAAGATAAACCTATACTCTTTCTGTCCTGATATGGAGAAGGGCAATAAATAATCTTTATTCTACCTAGAGACCTGTCCAACACTAAATTTATATGGTAGTTTAAACACAGTATAATACAAAGCACATTGACTTTGGAGTTGGACAAAGAGTACTATGAACTTTATTAGCTAGATGACATTGAGTTATTCAGTACCTCTGAGGCTCAATTTCCTAATCTGAAAGAATGATAATGGTTATATCTAGTTTTTTTAGTTGAAACTGGGTAAAGAATTCGGAGTGACAGAAAAATCACAAATAATACACTATCAAACAAGATAGAAGTTTTTTTTTATCTTTCATGAGTAAGTCTGGAGGTTGGTCCAGAGTGACTATGCTATACCATGTATTTGGCTTCTTTCATCTCATAACTCTGTCTGTAGAAGAAAGAGTTCACTCCCAAGTTCACCTAAAGTTTCATCTAAAGCTCTTGTTCTAGGTACCATGTCTACTCTGGCCAACAGCCATGACAGAATAAACAGAGAGAAGCAATCGCAAAGTCTGCCCCCAAAATATTTGTCCCAAAGTCGGCCCCCAAAATATTTGTCCCAATCACTAGAACCCAGATAAATAGCCATCTACATCATCACCAGAAAATGTAGTGTTAATTATGAAGAACTATAAGCCCTGTTGAGAATTTTATTACCATGGGAGAAGGAAAAAAATGAATATTAGGGGCAAATGGCAGCCTTCCTCTCTAGTTTATTGTAAAGATTAAATTACTAAGATTCATGATATCTAGAAAGCATTTAAACTATTAACTATCTCTTCCCTTTTCTACATTAAATTCTCTTTCAAGAAAATGAAAATTCTTTCATCTCTTCCTCCTGGTTTTTATTTGTCACAGATTTCTACTGTACTTCTCTAAACCTTCTCAGTGTTCTACAACTTTTATAGGTAGAGATGAACGCTACTCACTCCAATCTAAATAGGGATGTTCTAGGTGACGCTAAGCCATTAATGTCCATCCTTTTCAAAAGGTATTTCTCAGATTATTGAGTTTCTTTGGGATGAGATGTAATAAGGCAGATGTAGAGCACTTTGTTGGCGCTCTGATACCTTTATCTGTTTTCTCAGCACTGCGTACAAAGTGAGGTTCTAAGATCTCATTCACAGTCTCTAAATGATCGTTGCTTTCATTTTAAGTGAAGGAATTATTTCTTCAAGTAAAATCTTGTGACTGTACCTCAAACAAGTTCAAAGCCCAATTTTACTGCTCAAAGCCAGGATGAGGCTGTAGGCAAATTACTGGTCTAGATTATCACTTTACTTGTTGATAATCTGTTAATAGGAGGTGAGTATGACAGGTTACAAAAAGGGATTTGGCGAGGAAGTCAAGATTCCTGTTCTCTTCAGTAAACTTCAGCTATAAACTGAGACCTGGTTGCCTTGCAATTCCATCCAATCCACGACAAACACTGCCCATACTTCCCCCAGACTCTGCCACTAAAAGTTGCAGAGTTAATGATTGAAAGTCAAGAAACTGATCCACAGAGTTATAAATAAAATATAAATGAACAAGCTGCCATCAGGCCTTCAATGTGTTGGGAGCCAGAGGGCAGAGGAGGCAGAATGGGTGAGGAGAGTGAGATATGCATGAAACCCTCCAGGACAGATGGTGACTAGGTCTCATTTTCCAACCGTTCCCTCTCCCTGCATCTCCTCCGACCCCCCAAACCCACAGCATTGCCTTTTGCACTTTACCTTTCTCACTGCCATCTTCTGCATTTCACTTTCTGGGTCCTAGTCTTTCCCTAAGTTCTCACTTTAAAAATCATCTCTCCTGAATTTTGTCAAAAATGCTATTCTGACCATTTCATACACACTGATGTATCTCCTTCTAGTTTATATGTCTAATGTGGTAGTTCTCAAATGGGGGCCATTCTGTCTTCTAGGAACATTTGGGAGTGTCTAGAGATATTTTTGGTTGTCACACTGGAACTGAGGAGCAGGGAACTCCCGGCATCTAGTTAGTAGAGCCAGAGATGCTCTAAACGTCGTACTCTGTGTGGGTCACCACCCTCTGCCCCCAGCACCACCAAAGAATTATCTGGCCTCAGATATCAACAGTGGCTAGGCTGAGAAACTGGTCTAAAGTCTATATTCTCAACAAGGATAGTAACTTAAGTATTACAGTGGCTCAACCCAACCCTACCTGACAAAAGTCATGTTCCTTACTTCCTTGAGATTTAATTTCCTGGGGAGAAGAGTAGCAAACAGAAAAAAAAAAATGTCAAAAAAGGCTCATTTTGGGAGCATTAATAAAAGAAAAGGTCGAGGAACACTGGTCTAACATTAGGAAATTTTCAGGGTGAAGAATCAGTGTATTAAGCCCTTATACAAAGCACACGGTTGCAATTCAGCAAAAGCTGGCTTCTGGCATTGACATACAGCAACCTCCTAGAATTAAATATGAGTTTCAAATAACTGGTCCTGATTTTCCTGGGAAGAAGGGCAGGCAGGCCAGCTCTCAGTGGCTGAGTCCTTCTTTGAGGAAAGCATATATATTCTTTCAGGCCCCAAAGGCACCTTAAGATGTTTTGGGCCAGTGATTTACTTAATGACACCCGGTGACCTAGAAGAATTAATGTGCCTTTAAATGATGAGTTTTTATGGTTTCCCCAAAGGCCCTAATTTATTTGGTAGTTGGGCACTGTAACGTAGAAAACAGAGGCAAGAATTTTAAGAACATCACATTCTGCTCTCAACTTAGTGTGTTTCTTTTTGCTTAGAGGTATTTCCCCTCTTGAAAAGGTTTAAAATCCCATTTCTTCTCTGAAGGTCAAAAGCAAACATATCTTTCCGAGACATTTTATCCTGTCCAGAGCTTTAGAGAGGTCAAATAATAAAATGACTAATATAGGTAACTTCAGACTCTGGGTCAGTAAGTTCTATTTCCTCCAACTAGTGAACATTAAAAAAATTAAAACAAGTTTTTATCAAAATTGGCTGGAGTTTCCTGAGATACCACATTTTACTAAAAGAAAATAGAAGATAGTAAGTATGTGTAACGTTGAGCAGGTTTTCTGTGATATTCTTTCTTTATTTTTCTTATTTATGTATTGCTTACTCATATTTGAGAGAGAGAGAAAGAGACAGAGCATGAGTTTGGGAGGGGCAGGGAGAGAGGGAGACACCGAATCGAAAGGAGGCTTCAGGCTCCGAGCTGTCAGCACAGAGCCTGATAAGAGTCCAGAACTCACGAACCAGGAGATCATGACCTGAGCCAAAACCCAGGTGTTTAACCGACTAAGCCACCCAGGCACCCCAATATTCTTTCTTTAAAGCCTGTTTGGCCTCACCAAGTTCTTCCACCCTGTGCCTGGGAACAGCCCCAGGAGCTAGTTTACTCAGGGAGAAGAGGCTCTAAGGCGCTTCGGGGGCGGAGCCCATAGCAGTGGCTGGCCTGGAAGAGGTGAGGAGTCAAAACTTTTTTTTAAAATCAGAAAATACTCTTACAACTTTGAGGACAAAGTTTACGGCTTTGTTGGTCAGAGTAATTAAGTGGAGGTCGGTCCAGGAATGTGGCCTCCTCGATCCACACAGCTGCAGAAGACTCTGGGAAGAAAGGCTCCTCACTTCCTGTAACTGTGGGTTGTTCCACTGGGACTTCCTGTCACGGGCTGTCCTTAGGGCTCCAACCATCCCCCTCCACCCCACCCCTGCTCTTAGGCTTTCCTCCTACCAGTTTCCATCGTCTTCAAACAAAAGGAAAAGGGGAGAGTGAGCTCATTGAAAATGACGCCAAAAGATATTTTACAGCAGAACTGCTTTCTAAATGAATTCACATGTTTCAAAGCATTTTTCTACTAAGTAATTTTAGTTATAGTTTAAAAAACAAAATGAGGCAGGAACAGGAAAGAGAGAAAGGCCTTTATGAGGCCAAAATAGAAGTTTTATCGGATTCTGTTTCAAAAATAGAGTCCCCAGGTTCAGATCCTGCTCTGACAATACAAGGCAAAACCATGTAGTTTTATATGAATGCAGTATTTTCATTTAAAATGTGATCTGGTATTCCAACAGAGGAAAATATTTTGGCATTGTGGAAGTTTGCTTTTCAGAGACCTTTAAGAACAATTTCATTGAGTTTCATGGTGCTTTATATTTTTAGTTTAAGTGTTACCATCATCAACTTTATTTAGTAGTGCATAGAACATACATTGTCTCTGCTAAACAAATAAGTGATCTAAGGATAGAATGACCACTCCACAAACGAAATGCAATGGCATGAAGTACACATGCAATTTTGTAGGCTTAGCCCTTCCTTCACACTTCCAAATAGCATGCAACAAAGATAAATGAAATATTTTATACTGATCATGTGAATTATACACAAAAAGAAATGTTCTGACCCAAAAACTCAAAGCTGTTGATAATAATGCCTTAAGCTTTTGTGCATTTCATCAGTTTTCAAACACTTTCTCCATTTATGTTACCTCACTTGATATTCTCAGTGATCTATGAGGCAGGCCTGGCAAACATTACACAGTGGATATGCAGCTCATGTACAGCTTAGATATGGAAGACTAGAGCTTCTCTAGGATTCACATTAGTTTTTGACTCTGCGTTGGTGGCAGTAACTTTCAGGGCTCCGCTAGCAACTAATTACCAAAAAGCACCTCTTCCGGGTAGCTTCCAGGTGGAAATATCCCCCAAACCCTCTTTCTCTAGGTGCAGGGCTTAGGATGCAGCGAACACTTGGGATTCGCCCAGCCTGAACACCCACTCTTTGACCAGACATTTTTGTATGAGACGCAACAAACACAGGCGGGTGTCGTAGTCTGGACAACTTTCATCCTTCTTGGGCTTCTCCCCGGTTCTGTTAGGGTAAGTGCCATAGTTTGGATTCTGTGAATTTCCAAGAGCTCAGGACGGGGAGGTGGGAGGGCGGGGAAACACCTTCTGATTGTCCACACATGTGACCCTCTGATGTCCAGTGTTCTTGTTTGTATATCGCTGCAGACCCGGCGGCCCTCTGCTGTTTCCATTACATGCTTAGGGGCAGAGCATGTTGGCTCAGAAGCCCATGGTCCTTTTCCCACAAGCTCCGTGCAGCCATTTCCCCTCAGAGCTTCTGCAAAGACCAGCACAGGTGCCCTCTGCATATGGCTCTCACTCTCTCAGGCTTCATCTCTGTCTGCGTCTCTCATGCTCACTTGCTGTCTCTCTCACTTTCTGCTCTTTCTCATCTGGGGAGAAAGGGTAAGAGAGCAAAGGAGCCTTTCCTTAAGATTCAGGCTTTTGTGAGACAAAGCCAGACCTTTCTCTAAGCTGCTTCTGTTCCAGCCCTGCTACAAAACTACCTAAAGACCATGAGAACAGAACTATTTCCCTGAATAGAAGGGAAAGAGAAGGAAAGAATACAGGTGGAGAAAAGTATCCATTCACAGTCATTATTTTTTAGATGGAAAATAAACTGATATAAATGTTGGAACCAAGGTAAAATAGGCCAGAATTTGCTAGTTTTTTACACCACAGCTTAGTAGAGCAAGCTTGGTACTCAATTACCAGAAAAAAAAAAAATAGATAGGCCCAACCTCCCTATGTTTTGAATTGACTGTTGGATCAAGATGATAAAAAATAAGCACTAAGTGGCTCCATGTTTCCCCCCTCCATTCTATTGGGTGAAAGATCTTCTCTTGGGCATGATGAAATCCAGTACTTCACATGTTCTCTGACAGGCTGTCAGGCTGTTGGACTCTCTGGGAAAGACCAAGTAGATGGCTAACATGGCTGTGGAAGCCTTGGGTCCCCATATTTCCCATATGTTGAGCATATTGAAGGGCATGGCATTCTCAAAGCAGCCCCTTTGATGTGTTGTTTTTCTAATGAAGAGTAACATGTGCTTTGGAATACACAGGATGGTTTCAAATCCGGCTGGGCGTTGGGGTGGGGTGATCAAGAAAGAAATGCCATCTATGGGCAGATGTAAAGATGGAATAGAAATTAGCCAGGGGCGCCTGGGTGGCCCAGTTGGTTGAGCATCCGACTTCAGCTCGGGTCATGATCTCCCAGTTCGTGGATTCAAGCCCCGCGTCAGACTCTGTGCTGACAGCTCAGAGCCTGGAGCCTGCTTCTGATTCTGTGTCTCCCTCTCTCTCTGACCCTCCCCTGCTCATGCTGTCTGTCTCTCTCCCTAAAAAAAGTAAATTAAAAAAAAAACATTTAAAAAATACTGAAAAAAAAAAAAAAAGAAATTAGCCAGGAGAAGAGTTTGAGGGAGAGAGAAGAAATAGGAAAAAGAACATATACAAGGCCTACAGATGAGCAGACACGGCTTGTTGGGGAAACGGAAAATTGTTTGCTACTGACAGGCAGAATTGTAAGGGCAGGATAAGGGAATGGGATTGGGGGAGAATTGGAAATTTAAGATTGAAAAATTAAGAAGAAAAGTTTGCAGAAGTGAAATCAGTTGTATGTAGCAGAAAACTCAACAGTGGCTTAAACAAGGTAAACATTAATTTTTCTCATGTGATAAGTAGGAGGTGGGTCGGTATTTGCTGTTGTTGGTTAGGTGGTTCAGAATCATCAAGGTTGCAGTGAGCCTCTTGGCCCTTTTTTCACTCTAGTCAGAGCTTCTATGTCCAGGAATTAAGGAAAAAGCAAAAAAGGCAAAAATGGGGGTGCCTGGGTGGCTTAGTCGGTTAAGCGTCCAACTTTCCCTTAGGTCATGATCTCGCGGTTCGTGGGTTCGAGCCCCGCGTCGGGCTCTGTGCTGACTGCCAGCTCAGAGCCTGGAGCCTGTTTCGGTCTGTGACTCCCTCTCTCTCTGACCCTCCCCTGCTCACACTGTCTCTCTCTCTCTCTCTCCTAGAAATAAATAAAACATTAAAAAAAAAAAAGGGCAAAAATGGTGCATGTTTATTGAATCTGACCTTTAAAGGAGTTTTTCTGGGAGCCCCTTGCCAAAGCTTCAGTTTATTTTCATTGTCCAGAGCTGTATCGCAACAGAGACTTATCTGTCTTCCAGACATCACAAAAAATGTTGGGATTTACTTTGGTTTTTTAAAAATTTTTAAATTATTTTGAAATGTTTATTTATTTTTGAGAGAAAGAGAGACAGAGATAGAGTGCAAGACAGGGAGGGGCAGAGAGAGAGAGGGAAACACAGAATCTGAACCAGGCCCCAGGCTCTGAGCTGTCAGCACAGAGCCCTACATGGGGCTTGAACCCACAAACCACAAGTTCTTGACCTGAGCTGAAGTCCAATGCTTAAACGACTGAGCCATCCAGGTGCTCCCACTTTCGTTTTTGTTTTTTTAAATGTTTGTATGTTTTGGGGAGAAGATAGATAGTCCCACATGGGTGCCAGTGGGAGAGGGGCAGAGAGAGAGGGAGAGAGACAGAATCCCAAGCAGGCTCCACACCCAACACAGAGCTTGGCATGGGCCTTGATCTCACAAACCCTGAGATCATGACCTGAGACAAAATCAAGAGTTAGACACTTAACCAACTGAGCCACCCAAGTGACCCTGGATTCACTTTGAATGGATAAATTTGATTCATATTTCCATTTTCCTCAACCAATCTCTATGGCCAATGCTCTGATTAAACCAATCCAAGCCCTTGTTATGTTATTCCTGAACTACACTTACATAATTTCATTCTACCAAGCACCTGCTCAAGAGACTTCAGACGTTCCATTACTGCAGGCCAGCACTTGGACTCTCCTCTAATGTTTCATCAATTAAATTAAACAATTTAATTTCATCAATTAAATAAAACAAAACTGTGGTAGACAGCTACCACAGGCAGATAGGCTGGACTAGCCCATATAGTCTAAGCAACATGGGCATTTCCAAGCCCATGCCTTGTTCCCTCCCTCCCCTCATTCAACCTACATGCATAGGATACATTCACCTACTTGATTCCAGTGTATCCTTCAAGATCCCACTCAAGTCCCAGGCTGTGCTGGATGCCATCCTGCACATTGGCTTATGAGATTCCTTCCTTCTTCTAATTCACTGACCAATACCACATGACTAGCCATTAAAAAATGGATTGCCTTGTTGCTACTTGGTTTTTATGTTATTGAGCACTATTCTATGCTTCTATCTAAGTATGTATCTTGTCTTTACATCTTGCATATATAATCTTTAGATACGTTTAATATTGAAGGAAGAAAACCAATGGATGAATAAATGAAAGATAACAACTGTTCCAAAAACATTCAGTTACAGTCTTAAGATCATCAGGAAGCTTCCTTAGATTGAACTTGTCACTTGTCCTCGGAATTATGTTGTCAGATTTCCATTGAATGGTGAATCCAAATACACTTGGCACTAGGGGGACTTAGTCTGTTATACCTCCAGATCCTTCTTTATTTACTATAGTCACTTTCTTCTGCAGATGAAAAATTTGACTTCGCAGAGCCTTAGCTAAATATTAGTCAGGGCCCTAAACAAGTGTTATGGCATAGGAAGCCCAGGAAGTTAGTATCTGTCCCAGAAAATGGAACATATATGATTGCTAACTTGCTTGCTGAATCAGAAGAAATTCAGATCTCAGTTACTATCTAATTTGATGCATAGCAAATGGATGTCTTCAGAAAAGTAATAATTTGTTGCTAAATACAGATATACCTGACTAGTAGTCAAATTGTCTACGAAAGTCTAATAAAACTCTGGAGAGGTAATCTTGAAATAGTGAAAAATTCAAGTTAAACTTAACATTGTATCAGTCATCAACCTACCTTTGTGATATATTCTCAAAACATCAAGGGACCTTCGGCATTTTAGTAAAAGCGATGACGACTTTAAAGCCTTTAATCATGTTTGATTTACCTCCAGAGACAATGAGTAAGTGCAAGGTAGGTGCATGAGGTATGCTCTGTTAATATGGCATCTGAAAAGGGATTCTTTCCTAGGCCTGCTGGCACTGAGTATATATGAACTTGTCTTTAAGAAGAGGAAAATATCAGTCATGAATAATGCTTGGAATACTTTTCCCAAGGTAGAAAATGTTTTGCTTTCGTGCTTCAAATAATCCTGTTCAACAAGACTAGCCTACACACTAACAATCAGTGCCCAGATCTTTCACAGTGTAAATTAATCTCAGCATCTCTAGCTCTTTCTCAAAATAGATCAAGATTCACCTTGAGGTCTTTTTGACAACCTTCAGACCCTGGAGAGCAGCTTGAGGCCCAGGGTTAGTAGGTTCCTAAGGGAACAGCATAAAATGGAGCAGACAGCCAAAAGCCTCTCCCTTAGGGTCTGCGCTCCCCTCCATGCCTGGTCGTTGCTTGCACGACTTGGGAATCCTCTGGACTGATCGGCCTGTCTCATCATCTCCTGCCTCGGCATATCGATCCCGGAAACACTTGTCCTGCTTTTGCTAAATTCTCGCAAACGGTTTTCTTTCCCGGTTAGATCTGCGGGGGCACCAAGGACCACCCCTGACACGAAGTTAAACTGGACTTCTGATCGGACTTTGACCTAAGCCTCCTGTCTCCATTCAGTGCTTGCTATTGCATGTTATTTATTTAATGAAGCCCTCTGCTGTCTTTAGTTTGTCTCCTCGTGTATTTGGAAAGACAGTTTCAAAAGCAGCTTTCAAATTATGCTCATCCTCTGGGATCAGGTCGGGGAGGTGGTAAGTAACTTAGAAAGTTGACAAGCGTATAAAATCATAAAAAAGGATGTGCAGTTATTTTAAACATTCTATTTTAACGTAAAACATTTTAATGTACACTTACTTACCAATTTTTCCATAAAGGACCAAGTTCTCTCTGATTACAGTGAGTTGTCTCTCTGTCATAAACTGCTCCACTGCGCATTATTTTTAGTATTGGTTTCTTTATAATGGAAGGAGAACTTACAGATGTATTTAGACCTAAAGTTGTATGATTCTCTCCATCTTTTATATTTTATATGTGCACACTTAAATTAATTAACAATATTTTGTATAGTGCTTTGTTTTTCTCAAGTCTTTCCTCAGCATTTGACTTAGCCCTCATGGGTACAAGTCACTGTCACATATCATTGATTTATACAGCATACACTGTGTTACATGAATTTTTTTTAATGTTTATTTATTTTTTTTGAGAGCTAGAGACAGAGCATGAGGTGGGGAGACAGAGAAGGAGACACAGAATCCAAAGCAAGCACCAGCCTTCCAGCTGTCTGCACAGAGCCGGACACAGGCTGTCTCTGTCTCTCACACAAACTGTGAGATCATGATCTGAGCCCAAGTGGGACACTTAACCGACTGAGCCACCCAGGTGCCCCACAGTGTTACATAATTAAAGGAAAGAACCGGTGTTATAAACCGGTTTGGAAACAAATGCAATCGACTCTTGATAGAAATATAAATGGACCAATAGGAGGAGAAGTGAGAAAATGAGACAGGATCCTAGAAGCCACTAGCGAGTAATGAAAGTTCTGTGGGGATTATTCAGTGCGTTCTGAAGGGATGGAGACCATCTGCTGGAGACACATCAGTGATTAGTTGAAAGCATCTACTGGACGATGGTATAGAGCTAGTCCCAGTTCAGGCAACCCAAGAGGAAGAACATCCTCCCACTCTCAACTCTATATAGCAATGTAGGGGAAGAACCTCACTGGGTCATGATCTACCATGAGACTGACCACGGTTCCCAGGTTCCCAGTGTTCTATGATGGCTCACCTTAGGTCATACTGAATCCGAATGACACTCCTGGCATTACCTGCATGGTACAGCAGTCCTAGAGGAAGGGACTACTTCAGTGGACCAACCCCGATCTCCTTGGAAAATTCTTGCAAGGAGGCTACATTAGTTCAATATTAAATTCCTCTTCTCTCTTTTTAAGATGGCTTAAAATCTCTTAAGAGTAAAAAGTGGGATATAATATTAACAACAACAAAAACAACCACCAATGACAGCATTATTATGATGTGTCAGGCACTGCTCCAAGTATCTTATATGATTGTTACCTAATTGATCATCTGATGAACCCTAATCTCCACGGGGCCCCTTGCTGCCACCCGGCCATCTACCCACATTTCCCTACATTATTCCTACCTCCCAGATAACTGTTTTACACCTTCATGCCTTTCCTCAATCTCTCCATCCCTCCTATCTTTACTCAGTTGATGAACCTGCTTGTTATTTTACTGAGAAAGAAAAAAAAGGAGCCCTACTTGGGCACTGAATTCCCTCCCTCCCCTCCTCCATATGAGGGACTTACCTCCATCAGTTATTTCTTCTCCCCAGGGCATAATCAAATTTCCCCTTTCCTGTTCCCATTTCTGTCAGCATACAAGTCTGCTGTAATTTCTCCCATCTTAAAAAAAAGAATCTCTTGTGACCTTATATCCCAGATAAACTACTACTCCACTTCTCTACTCCTAATGGAGCAAAAATTCTGGTGGAGTTATCGACACTTGCTGTCTCTGATTTCTCTCCTTCCTTTCTCTCTTGAACCAGTCACAGTTAATCTTTGGCTCTTACCGCTCCATCAGTGATTAAATCTCTGCCCTCATCTAGTTTGGTTTACCAGCAAGACTGAACAAAGCTGATCATTCTCTCCGCCTTGAAAACATATTTTTCACCTTGTTTCTAAAATAATCTTCAGTTTCACTCCCACATCACAGCTGCTCTCTTTCAGTCTCCTTTGCTGGTTGCCCCTCATCCCCTAAACCCTTGTATTTTGAATATCTCAGGCTGAGCCTCTTTATCTTTACTCAATCTCTGTTTGATCTCATGGATTTAAATATATGTATAAGCCGATGACTTTATAATTTATTTTCCTTACTTACAAGTTTAGGCACTGATGGCTTTTTCATTTGTATATCTAACTTGGATCTCTTCCTTGAACTTGAAACAAATGCCTCTTTTAATATCTCCACTTGTACGACAATAGGAGTCTCAAACGTCAATAGAGTCAGTTCTGCAATAGCATGTATTTTGAAATTGTGAGTTTGTTTCCACATGATTCATACATCAGGGAATCATTTCAGCATGACACTAGTTTTGCTTTCACTTATGTGCACTGTCATCTGTGAGAAATACTAGGTACATGCATAAAACCACAACCAGTTGGGCCCTTAGGAACACCCAAAGGACATACATGCACACAACATCTACCAGCTACCCTAGTTCACACTGTGTTTTACCTTACTTTCACTTTTGTGAGCTTTTCTGTGTTTGAAACCACTCTTTCAGCATCCCAAACATCTAAGGATCCTGGCTCAAAAGTGCCAAGCAGTGCCTGCTAAAGGGCAGTATTTAAGTATTGAAGAGAGGCTTTGAACTAATAACTTAAAAAAATTTTAATATTTATTTACTTTGAGAGAGACAGAGCATGAATGGGAGAGGAGCAGACAAAGAGGGAGGGAATCCCAAGCAGGCTCCATGCTTAGCACAGAGCCTGACACGGGGCTAGAACCCGTGACCCTGAGATCAGGACCTGAGCTGAAATCAAGAGTCAGACACTTAACTGCCTGAGTTACCCAGGTGCCCCTAATGTGTTTTTTAAAAAACACAAGAATACAGGGGTTTTTGGGGGTTTTTTTGCTTTGCACAGTATCATTAACTTAAACTCAGGCAAATAGGAAGAAACTGTGCGCTCCCCTTGCATAGTTCTGTAGCAGTGACATATCTCAGCAACGACACAATTCTGTGATGCAAGAGTTTCTGTTAACGCAGCGTTGTGCGAAACAAGCATTGTATGTGACTTCCCTTGTGCAATAGGCAGAAAGGAATCCACATTACCGACTGTGACAGACAATGCCATAAAAGTAAAATCTTAAAAAGTCTACGGCTGGACCAACCTTGTGTACTGTGAAGTCCATGAGAACATGGCCTAAAGGCATGGACCAAACGGAGAGATGGTTGAACCCACAGGATAAAGATCAAACAGTGAAGACCGTTTGCTCAAACTTATCAGGAAGGCTTTCTCTTACCAGAATTTCACCTTACCTAGAATTTCACTCCTAATTCTTCAAGTCACGGTATTCTCTCTCTGCCTTTTTTCTTCTTTTCTTCTCATTAAATATATTGCCATTAGACATTCTATACAGCATTTTATTTATTTATTAGTCTGTTTCTTATCAACCTGTGGCAGTTTTAAAACATCCAAATGTGGCATTTAAAACACGCAAATCCTTTGGCACTTTTCTCATAGACACGTAGGGTCTATGCCCCACTCCTCAAATCCTGGCAGGCCCGGTGAGAATGACTTCTGACGCAAGGTCGCAAAAGGCCACGCAGCTGGAACCTGCTGTTGGAGACTGAGTGCCCTCAGTCAGTCATGCTGTGCGGAGGCCATGGTTAAACTGAGACACTGTATGGAGTGCCGGGGACGGCGTCAGCCACGCCTGGCTTTTGAGACGTGCTAGATCAGGTTCTCAGAATCGAACAGAAAGATGAATGTACAAGTAATTATGATAAATACTTACAATTCAGTGTGAAAGATGCTACAGTGACTTATTTCCAGACGGGTGAGAGGAGAGGAAAGAGACATTAATTATACTGCAGGACTATAAGTGAGGGCTCGGAGAAGAGAGGACATTTGAGCTGCCTTGCGGGATAAGAAGGTATTTGCCAGGCGGATGATAGAAGAAGAATTGGACTCTCGGTCTCCTCTTCTTTCCAACACTCAAAGGGCTTGGAGTGCAAGGAAGGCCCATCCTTTCTGACAACAGGAATCAACCAACAATTGACTGGAAGCGAACACCGAGCTAGATAATGAGCACTGAAATTAGTAACGTGATGCTACAGAAATAAAATTGGCCGGTTTAGGCAAGGCTGTCGACGGAGAACGGCACAGCATTTCTCTTCTCTGGGCCTGTTTTTGCATCTGTAAAAGACAGAGGTCAGACAAAAAAGTGCAAAATAGGTCATTCTCTTTTGTCAATTCTGTGATTCTAGTTCTTTTCTACCTCTGGTACTCTCAAGGGTGCAGTCTCCATTTCCTCAAGTGTTCCTCACATTATATGTTTCCCACACATGGGTCTCCCTTTGCATGGATTCTGCTTTGTAGAAGTCTGCTTGAAAATGCCCCCTTCAAGGGGCGCCTAGAGGGCTCAGTTGGTTAAGCGTTGGACTCCTGACCTCTGGTCTTGATCTGTGCTGAAGTCATAAGCTCACAGTTCAGAGCCCCACATCAGGCTCTATGCTGAGCATGGAACTTGCTTGGGATTCTCTCTCTCTCTCTCTCTCTCTCTCTTTCTGCCTCTCCCCACTTGCCAGCACTCGAGTGCATTCTGTCTCTCTCAAAATAAATAAATAACATGTAAAAATTAAATTAAATAAATAAGAAGTCCCCTTTTGTACTAGATATTGTGCTTCAGTTGGGGAAGCCAAGTCTTCATCAGCTGTTTTCCAGTCACAGCAAAGGTTCAAGGCCTATTTTACATCAACTTTTAGTTAATTCACCCATGTAACATGTAATGTGAGCATATGCAATTGATTGAACCTAAATGTAGGGCTTGACATTCATTCACGTTAAATATATCTTTGTACTTCTAGAAGCATCTAGCATAGTTGGTCAATAAATACTTGAATTGATTTTTGTTTTGCATTTTGTTTTAGGCTGTCACATAACAAAAGTTTTCTGAATTTTTATTACTTTTATATTCTATAACCTTTAAGTTTGCCACATTATTAAAAAATTTTTTTAATGTTTATTTATTTTTGAGAGAGAGACAGAGCATGAGTGGGGGAGGGGCAGAGAGAGAAGGAGACGCAGAATCTGAGGCAGGCTTAAACTCGAGAGCCCGATGCAGAACTTAAACTCAGGAACCGCTAGATCATGCTGAGCCAAGGTTGAGGCTTAACCTACTGAGCCACCCAGGTGGCCTAAGCTTTTCTACTTTAAAAAGTAATATGAGATGTGTTAAAAAGACAACAAGCCCAAAATGGAGTCCCTTATACTAAGCCCTGAGTCATCAAACCGAGTGGTAACTCTCCCACTAATAAAATCTGAAACCAGTCAATCAGGAATTGCCTGCTCAGCAGGAATTAGGTAACCTTCCTGATAGACCCCTGCCCTTCCCTAAAGGAAAGCACACCAACCAACCCATTTTTTGCCGAGTAGAACTTCCTTGTTCCTGCTCCCTTCTGGCTATAAAAGTTCTTTCATTTTGTACAGCTTTTTGGAGCTCCTTTCTTTCTGCCAGATTGGATGCTTCCTGATTCAAATCAATATTGGCTCACATCGACTCTTAAAATTTTCAATATGCCTCAATTTATATTTTACCAAATGAGAATCTTGATGCTGCATTTTCTCTGATCTATGTGCTTTCTGTAAATCAAAGAAACATTTTTGTATCATCATGAATGGGACGTGGAAGAGATGTTTATCAGGTGTTTGTTACCAGCCTTCTCCATTAACGAGTTAGATGCGTCCTGCTAACAACCATGCTAACCGTGTGAAGATCACACAGCACACTGAAAGCAAAAAATGACCAAGTTTGGAATGTGTAGATTTAAAAAACTTTATAAATCGGGGCACCTCGGCGGCTCAGTCAGTTAAGCATCTGACTCTTGATTTCAGCTCAGGTCATGATCTCATGGTTTGTGAGTTTGAGACCCACACTGGACTCTTGCGCTGACGGCTCAGGATTCTCTCTTTCCTTCTCTTTCTGTCCCTCTCCCTCTTCCATATGTGTGCACGTACACTGTCTCTCTGTCTCTCTCAAAATAAATAAACTTTTAAAATTACAAATAATAATAGTCCTTTCAAGGAAGGATTCTCAGGTGCAATACTCCATGGAGTAAGAGACGTGAAATTCCCGAACTTTCCTGTCAGTTACTCCCTGGCCCAGGACGCTGTTGATACTATGTATCAGGTTGAATCTGAAATTTCAAATCAGGCCCATTGCTTTTTATTTTTTCTGTTTGTATTTCTTTTAATGTTTATTTATTTTTGAGAGACAGAGAGATAGAGCATGATGGGGGGAAGGGCAGAGAGAGGGAGACACAGAATCCGAAGCAGGCTCCAGGCCCTTAGCTGTCAGCACAGAGCCCGACATGGGGCTCAGACTCACTAACCTTGAGATCATGACCTGAGCTGAAGGTGGACGCTCAACCGACTGAGCCACCCAGGTGCCCCAGGCCATTGTTTTTTGTAAAGAATTTTAGAGGTTGTTCTGAATCAAAATGTTCAAGACAGTGGGGAAAAGATCCTCCGAGACTGCAGCAGCAGAATGGAAAACGTGAAGAACCAGGAGCCCATTCTTCCTCGTTGGTCCTGAGTGTCCTTTCTGCTCCAGAAGCTTGTCTTTGCTCCCAAGGTCCCATCTCATCGAAGTTACTGGGTACCTTCCCTCCTCATGACAGATGGGGGAGAAAAACGAGTGCAACCAAGAGGGACAAAGGACTCTAATGATTGCATTTTCCAGCGATTTTTTCTTTCAATTCTGTGCTTTTTAAACACTGCAGGAGTCACTGC